GTGAGTCGAAAATCAATAGAACGGTCATTTTCGTTTTACTCCTTTCTTATTAGCATTTTATTATGTCGGCGTGGTCAATAGAAATCAGTCTTGTGAACCGAACCGAATGGGGTGGTCGCGAACATGGTACGTGTGTGTGACAAGTGGACCTCAACGATTGCGCGAGTCAAAAGTATTAATTGATCGCTTGCACTGTTCCGCCGCGCGACGAGCGCGATAATATTTATTCATTTCGAACACACATTCGCAGACGGATTGTATGGCAAACGAATGGTGAAAAAAACGAAATTATTTAATCTTGATTGAAAATCACGCTATATACGACTTCGTCCTTTTCCTTGTTTTTTCAGCGTTTTTTTTCTCGTTCCTTTAATCCGATAATTTCTTTGCTTTGCGTTATTTTTACTCTCTATACTTACCACACTGTGCTATTTGCTGTATTGTGTGGTGCTGTTTTTCGGTTTTTTCGCATCTCCCTCTCCACATACACTTTTATACCGAATAAGCACGACAGCAGAATTGCTATCGGAAAAATCGTATTGAACACAAATACACATACGGACGCAACAGCAACAACAACAACAACAACAACAACAACAACAACAACAACAACAAAAATGAGTTGATAGTGGCTTGTGATTAAACGTGAATTTGTATGTATATTGAAAATGCTTTGCCTTTTTCGAAAATAAACTGCTTCGTTCATTTGCTTCGAAATTTGGCGTGATACAAATATATTTTATCGATACTGTGAACAATTCAATCCGATATACAAATTCGGTTTTGTGGGCGCTCGAACACGATTGTTCCCTTTAAAGAGGCGTCGATATGAATGTTATATGGCTATTATGGTTGTTTTGTTGTTGCTGTTGCGTTTTTTCTATTTATGTTCCAACGACGTACATTATCAAAAGCCATCGACTAAAATTACATTCAAATCAACGACAGTCAATATCATTCGGCCTAGAAATTGACTGATATTTGCCGAATCGACAGGAAATACTCATTCAGACTGGCGTGAACTATATACCCACACATAGACACACACTCACACACACATACAAACACATACATGGATTGAGGCGAACGCACTAATTTACGGCCCCAAAAACTTTTGCTCTCCTCAGCATAAACTTCGACTCCGATTTATGTTTGCATATTTTTATCCTTATTACTTTGACTTTCCCCATTTTCATGCAATTGTCAATATCCATTTCATTGCTTTTGCTCGTTGGTTTCTCGGTCGTTTTGTTCCCTTCTGCGTGTTGCCATTCACATAATTTTGAATACCGAACTAGGAGAAAAATTGAAATGAAGAAATAAATTCGGTTGAAATTTGTGCTTTGTTTCGAATTCGTCTCTTGATTCACTTGAGTTGCTGGCGTACTGATAAAGGTAGCATAACAAGTGAAATCAATTAATCAGGGTGAATAAATTATTTCATTCATTTTGAATTTTATTCCATTTTTATTTCGTTGCGTTTACATTTTTCTTCCTCGTCAATGGCAATAAAAATAAATTGACTGGGCACAGCATATTTCACTGCTGAAAGAGATACAAAAAAAAACGCACTCGACGAAAAAAAGAACTGACATTTGATTTGAATTGGTGAAAATTAAGATGTATAAATGGAAATTCGTTCCTATTTTTATTAGAAAACTTTTTTCCCGCTGCCCCACGATGGTGTTATCTGCTGTTGTGTACTGCATTGAGTAATAACTTAATTATGAATACCAATTTGAAATTATTGGTGCGTTGCTTCGATTGCCGTGGCTCTCATCGAACATTACTTGTCTAATAACTTTGCTAAAAGTTTTCGCATCGGGAAATTGGTCTCGCAATGACATTCCCGTGAGGATCAACGATGCAACAAATTTCATGAAAATTTTGAAATTAAATCTTGTTTCATGAATCGCGTTCACTGACCAAGTTTTTCTTCTTCTTCGAAACTGTTCACGGTAGCTTTACAAGAAAGCAGCCATATTAATCGCTCATTAAATATGCCAATCAAAGTGACTCAGAAAATCCAGTTCAGGTTTTCATATATATAGCTGCTAATCAACACATTCGTAGTGACAAATGAAAAAGAGCTTATTCGCTCGTTCAATCATTACTAGTCATGAAATGCTCACATTTATTGCCTCGAACCGAGTAAGAGAATTAATGAGGTGTCAACAAAAGAGAGCAACGCGGTTATTGCAATCAAATCAATGAACATTGAATATTTTGAATTAAAAATAGAGCGCACTGGCATTGCTCAATAAACTTGTACTATCTATTTCTTTATGAAACTTCAATTACGTCTGAAAAATTGAAGCGTGGATTGTAAACAGTTTGAAGTTCATATCATTCAATTGAATTGCTTTGCTCTATTTTCACATTCTAATTAAATACAATTCAATTCATCCGCCCGTTTTCGATTTGAATTCGATTGGTACGCGCGCGCTCCAACTGAAATGGAATTATGCGAAAGCGAGAGACAGAGAAAAAAAAGTAACATTCTGCGCTGCGTATTTCCGTTTGTTCGTAATCCATCATTGTATATATATATATCTATTTTTTTTAAATGATATAATTTTATGAATCGAATAATGATGGCAAAATAGACGTATTAGAAATCTGATAAAAAAACGTCTATCCGTCTATATTCTCTGCCAATTTTGCTTGCCAGTAGGACAATGGTACGGTTGATAACTGAAATGAACTCGAAAATGAAAATGTGATGAATGAATACACAGTAAAATTGCTTTTTGATTGACAACATCACGAAGAGGGTCTCATGATTCATCGTGAACGCATTACAGGAATTTGTTTCAATAACGCAATTTTCTATACGCTTTTATTGAATGATAAACAGCAAATTTTCAACAACAGCACATGGAGCGGCAGAGAAAAAAAACACTCGTTCGTTCATTAAGTTTGCGCACAACATTTCGAACTGCAACTCCATAAAATAGACAATTTCTGTATTTCGAGTGATTATTTCCGACGATAGACATCTGAATGAATGTTTTGAGCAAAATGTTAGTCGAACACGTGATTTTGACATTTGTTTGATGTAATTCCAATACAAAGTTCATTATTTCGAATCGAAACAGAGTAGCAGTGGAACGGCCCAACCGAATTTAGATCAATGAGTATCCGTTGCCAATCGCATAAATAATTACAAATAATGAAGCGTATAGTGATCCATTTGGAATGGTTGTAGCGTTTGTGCCTTCCAGTCCATCAAATTGAAAGTCATCGATTCGAGTTTTTAGGCAGAACGCACGACGGTAGTCATCTCAAGTACATTTCATACGATGGAGAGATAGAGTGGGACAAATGGCAAAGAATGCTTTTGATTTTGTCGAAAACCCAGCACAACCGAATCTATCTGTCACGAGAGTTGATGGATTTTAATTTGATTGATACTTTGTAAGCCTGTTGCTGCGGTCGCACGTGTTCTCTGTCTTTCTCTCTCTCTATCTCTATCTCCTACTCAATCTGGCCGACTTCACGTTCCGTTGCCCGCCGTGCATTTTGTTTCAGTTCATTAAAGTAATTTCTAATGTAATGAACCGAACACGAGTCGACACCATCGAATGGCGACGGCACAGGCGCTCACATTGATACCATTCCTGATTGGGAGATGGGCGAATCATGGTTTTGAAAAACAACATCATTTCTTCGTGTGCTACAAATTGGACACTTTTTCTTGCCAACGAAGACAACGACGGCGGCGTCGAAGTGATTTGTTTTGTTTTCACTCGAGCTTCCCTAAAAAAAAACGGTTCACGCTACGCGCTAAATACAAAATAATAGATTTCAAGTGTGGTATGTCGAAGATGTTTTGCCAGCGGCCTCATTTGATGCGTTTCATCCAAGCCACTTTTTGTTGTTCTCCCTCTCTCTTTTTATCTCTATCGTCAAGTCGATTGTTTTGTCGAAGTCCCCGGCGATTGAATGTAATTAGATGGCATATAAAACGAGAAGGGAAACAGTATAGAATATATTGAAAATAGATTGACTTTTTTTTTCCCTGAATTCACTTTTTGCCGTGCACAGACACGATAATGTTTTCAGGTTTAGCGCCATAATTTGTAAATTGATAATTTCGAGTGTCTTACGATCTCGTTGTCCGAAGCCGATATTCTTCAATAGAATATATTTTGTTTACTTAATTTTAATGCCAATGATGGACGGTCATCGTCGCCACAGCCAAGTTGCGGTTGATCGTACTTTTTTCGGTGGCGACGCGTGTGTCGTTACCACATCGTTACAGAAATTTAGACAAATTATATTTTAATGATGGTTTCCGTTGTTCATCTGGTTTTTCTTCATCTTTGATTCTTCTCGGCCATTTTTTGGTCCAATTTAGCCGATAGCATCGATTCACTTCGGTTTCGTATTGTTTTCGACGGCTTTGGCTGTTTCTTGGCGTTGTCATTATTAAAATCCAAAAACTAAATTTTAATTATACGATATTTTTGGTCATTTAACTCTAATCTCATTCGCATGTTGATTCTCTTGCTACTCCTTTGTTATGGCACTTCATCGTCACGCAATGAACGGATGCGAAAAAAGTATACTTTTAATATCATGTATCGATACATTTCGGCCGTCATTTATTCAACGCATATTCAACAAAAGAATGAACGCCGAAAAACATCATTAAAAATCGAAATGATTGATGAAATCGTTCTTATTATTGCTAGCGTCAATGGTGGTTTGGCTCAGTCAGTGTATTATTTTTTTTGTGTTGTGTTCAGCTTCAGTGCGTTGATTAATTTCAACAGATAGAGCATGTTTAGTGCACCGAACCACAACGGCAATCCGTCATTTTCTTATGCTTGATGTGATACTTGCATGAAGTGTCTTGGTGCTACATTTAGAATTTTTCCACGAATAATAAATCGAATAAAAGTAGAAGCGAATAGGGAACTAAAGTAGAGAACAAAATATTCTTTTTTATTTATAAAAAAATACTAATCCAATTTTGTGTTTTTCTTCTTTTGCAGACTCTGGTTTGCCACCATTCGGTCGAGGGGATGATAATGGAATGGGCGACGATCGCATCGCACACATTTTGTCCGAAGCTTCGGGCATGATAAAACCATCACTCGGTGGCTCTCAATCTCAATCACAAATGTCACTTTCGCATCAACAAAACGACGATTCTCGCAGCAACGACGATTCAGATTCACTACACAACCAAAGCCTATCACCATTCTCGAAGGATGCTCGCCGTATGCGCAAATATGAAAGCGATGACATTTCACGCGAGAAAATGGCTCGCATTTACCAAGAAGAATTGGCTAAACTAATGACACGCGACGCATTCCCAAAGTAAGTATTTAGTAAAATGAAATTCCGTTTTAGTTAGCCAGAGATCTCAAGTTTCTGGGCTCGATTCATTAACGTCTTTTTTTTCTTTTTAGTTCTCTATTTCCACAATTCTTAGGTGGTAGCATGCCACCGGTCACGTCGACCGCAACATCTCAAATGCCAGAGGATAACATTCGTATGGCTCTTGAAGCATATTACCGTGAATTGGCCAAGTTGCAACAGAGCGGTGGAAATATTCCGAACTTCCCAAATCTTCCTGGACTGCTTGCACTTCAGCAACAAGCGTTGAACGGTGCTCAAGATCTGTCGGTTAAAAAAGAGCAACAGGCCCAGGCCCAAGCCCAAGCACAATCCCAATCGCATTCGAACAAATCATCACAGAAGTTGAATGGGCAACATTCGGGCTCCGAAGAAAAGGACGTAGATGACGTACGTAACTCGCTATCTGCATTCAATATGGTTCGTGCTAAGGCTGAACCAGGCACCACACCAACCACAACAGCATCATCGGCTGCACCAAGCCCACTAGGCAATTCGATTTTGCCACCCGCAATGACACCAACCGACGATTTCTCCGCCGCCGCTAGCCCATTGCAGCGCATGGCTTCAATCACAAATTCCCTGATCACTCAAGCACCGATGCCCAATCATCATTCATCTGCTCAACGCCCATTAAAAGCCGTTCTACCACCAATCACTCAGCAGCAATTCGACATGTTCAACAATTTGAATACCGAAGATATTGTTCGCCGTGTTAAAGAAGCATTGTCACAGTATTCGATCAGCCAACGTTTGTTTGGCGAGTCAGTCTTGGGTTTGTCCCAAGGCTCCGTCAGTGATTTGTTGGCTCGTCCAAAACCATGGCATATGCTTACTCAAAAAGGTCGCGAACCATTCATTCGCATGAAAATGTTCTTGGAAGATGAGAATGCTGTGCACAAACTCGTTGCCAGCCAATACAAAATTGCCCCAGAGAAATTAATGCGAACAGGCAATTACAGTGGATCACCGCAAATTCCATCTGGTATTGCCAAACAAATGCCACCAATGCAAAAAATGATTAGCGAAATGTCGAAGATGCAACAAGAGCAACACTTGATGCATCTTCAACAAATGCAAATTCCATCGGTACAAATGCAACCACCGCCGTCACAAGGACAATCGGCATTATCTCAATCATCATCGATGCCAAATCCAGGAATGCTTTTGACGCCACCGGGCGTACCACCACATCATCGCGTCACACTTCCAAAAGAAGATATCAAACCAATGCCGGTTCCAGTTCATTCGCCGCAGCATAACAATGCAATGCGCGGAATGCATCAGCACATGTCGCCGACCGTTTATGAAATGGCCGCACTCACTCAAGACATGGATACTCAAACAATCACAACTAAAATCAAGGAAGCACTCATGGCCAACAATATTGGACAAAAGGTAAATTATCATCGATATCAATCTGTGATTATAATTCATGAATTTATTTTCTTTGAGTTGCATCACTAATTAATTTACTAACTGTATTTTACACAGATTTTCGGTGAAGCCGTTTTGGGTTTGTCTCAAGGTTCTGTTTCTGAACTGCTATCGAAGCCAAAGCCATGGCACATGCTCAGTATCAAGGGTCGTGAGCCATTTATACGTATGCAATTGTGGTTGTCGGACGCCAACAACGTCGACCGCTTGCAAGCATTGAAGAATGAACGACGTGAAGCAAATAAGCGTCGTCGCTCAACCGGTCCAGGAATGCAAGACAACAGCTCCGACACCAGCAGCAATGACACATCCGAATTTTATACATCAAATTCACCAGGGCCCGGTTCAGTTGGATCGGCTGGTGCACCACCAAACAAGAAGCAACGCGTTCTCTTCTCCGAGGAACAAAAAGAAGCACTTCGGCTTGCCTTTGCTCTCGATCCATATCCAAACGTGGGAACCATTGAATTTTTGGCCACTGAGCTCGTACTTTCTACTCGCACAATCACCAATTGGTTCCATAATCATCGCATGCGCTTAAAACAACAAGTTCCTCACGGCGCTCCAAGTGATTCGATTCCATCGCGCGAGAACCAAACCGGCGCTCCATTCGATCCAGTCCAATTCCGACTATTGTTGAATCAGCGCTTGATGGAATTGCAGAAGGAACGTATCGGTCTATCGGGTGTGCCGTTGCAATATCCACCATTCTTCGCAAATCAAAATCTAGCTGCACTCATTGGCCGTGGTCTTTTGCCAGGAAACGAGGCCGAATTGGCCGCATTGAATGCATTCAAAGAGCAAATGAGCGGATTGGATTTGTCAATGGGTGCCGGATTAAAGCGTGAACGCGATGAGTACTCGGACGATGAAAACGACGGTGAAGCCGATAATAACATGTCTGATGGCGAAGATGAAGACAATGCTGACAATAAATCGGAGTCAAACAAAGATTTATCAGCATCTCCAATGGCGATTCAATCAAATGTGCGTTCATCACGCCGCAAACCAGCCGCTCCACAATGGTTGAATCCGATGTGGCAAGATGACAAAAAAGGACCATCAAGTGCAAACAATACCGATGCAAACACTGCCGCAAATCGTGCACCAACCGACGATGAAGTTATCATCAATGGAGTCTGTGTTATGCAACAAAACAACGATTTCGATCCAGACGATTCAACAATGCGAGTTGAGCCACAGTCAGTTGATCGGCTAGATGATGACGCCGCTCATTCTGACGACGAAAATGACGCAAAATCGACCAAAAACAATGATGACATGGATACAGATACACCGACTGAAAAAGATGGCAAAGCCAACGATTCTGATAAAAAGTCCAACTCCAATGATAACGATGATTTGCCCGTCGTTAAAAAAGAAACCGAAGATAACGATCGATGGGACTACTAAATCCAATTACGTTCTAGGCAGTAAAACTGTTCAAAATAGTGCAATCTAAACTGTTGTGTACACAGACAAAAAAAAATTCCAAAAAATAAACATGAGAATGATTTTAAGTCCATTTTTTCTAAGTTTATCATAAAATAAATTGATTGGGCCGAGCATTATACTAGACTTCAAATCGATGCTCAATGTGAGAATGAAAGAATCGAAACAATTTTGTTTACATTTTTTTTCACTTTTTTTTCTTATGTTTAACTTATAGAAATTATTTGTAAATAGTCATAGAATATGAAACTACATTCAAGCAGAATAATTCAGTGATGTTGGCGAAAAACAATTGAAAATATTTCGAAATCGGTCAAATACGCATATTTTTCAAATCCAAAAGAGAAACTCTCAAATTATTCATACCGATTGAAAACAAAACAAACGTGAAAAAGTGTGAAACGTGCAAAATTGATTGCAATCGAATCATCAGATGAGAATGGTACAGATGTACAGGAGGGGTTCATTGTAAAAATGTTTAAGTTAATTGATTTCATGTGAACCGTATCCTTACATCAATATGAGAAAAAAATTTAATACTAGAATATTTATGTTTAGATGTTTAAATTGAAGCAAACCACAAATAATTGAGACGGAAAATAATTGATTGAATTGGAGTCGCATTTCAAATTGAGAGAAACAGAGGAAAATGTGTGGTCATTGTGTCTATAAAAACCAATGCATGCTTCGGCGATCAAAATAAATGAAATAATATGCGCAAGACTATATGATAGTAAAAAAAAATAGTGTAGATGTAAATAAGACTGTTGTTGGATGTGAGTGGAATGATTGAACAATGAACAATGCGTTTTCTACATAATTGATTCTTGCCGAATGGGTGAATTTTCACTTGATAATGTGGAACACATTCACACGAATATTTATGAAAAAACACACACACATTTCTCTTTATATATTGATAACCACACTTTCTTAAAACGTAGGACTCGTACTCGCATTTTATTCGCATCTGTTTGGACGGTCGTCCATTTGACCGGGAGGAAATGACAAGCAAATGCATGAATACATAAAAGAATAAACTAAGAATTAAATAGATATGCATAATATTAAGCTCGAAAATCAATCAAAATAACACATACACACACATGCAAAAACCAATTTTCGATGAAATTCACATAGAAAAAAGAGAATAAAACGAAAGTGAACTAGCAAGGTCAACATCAATGAGCATTACTACGAATTCTAGATTTTGATCTCAAATCAACCAAATAATCGAATACAACAAACACTAACTGAAACGAGCAACTGAAAAGGCACAGCGATTGCATCGTTTCACTATCTTTCGTTTTAAAAGTGTATTCACCGAATCATTTCTCCCTCAGCAAAAATTAAAAAAAAAACATTTTTCATTTCCGCTGTGTACATTAATCTACGAATGGCATTTAATTTCTTCCCATCGCAAAGTGAACAATAAGTAATCGTTATCGTTATATTTTTTTAATGTCGTCTGTTTTAGTTTTTCTTCTTTTTTCAAAAATATGCAACAAATTACCGAAACATTTGTAAATAAGTAAATCTACAGCGCACACACACACAAGTGTTGCCCATTTTAACGATTGATCTTTTTTTTGTATAGGATTAAGTGATGAATTCTCCATTTATGGAAGTATTATTCGTCGAAAATGAAAAAAAAATGTATGCATATCGAACAAGACAAACAAATAGATCATGAACTTCAATATACAACTGCCTCTAACCTAATTCATTGCACATTAGGTGCATTTTTGCGAAGAAGAGAAGACAATGGCCGCTGAAAGCATAGCGACCATGATGATACAAAGATTAAAGATTAGCTCGATGTGCGAATTTGAAAGAAAAAGAAACGCTGCTTCAGAACAATTAGCAAAAATTTTGGAACAAAAAAATTTAATGAATGAATGAAGAACCCAAAAGATTATCCGATTTTTTTTCTTCGTCTTATTTCAATCGCAGTCCCGACTGAACTGCTCAGTTGACTGTGAATGTGAGAAACCACACAAAATTATTCGCTTAAGTAGGTTAATTCAATATTATTCATATGCATATTTACTATATAGATCTATGAAAGAATGAAAGAAAAAGAAAATGAATATTATCAATAGATTTAAAAGAACAAATACATAGACATAAATTTTGTGAATTAAACTAATTTTAATTGATTTGTTAAAATGATTTAAAATGAAATAGAAATAAAAGTCTAATGTATGCACAAAAAATCGCATAAAACCAATTGATTCAAATTATTTTCTTCGTTCAGTCATCCTTTTCAGTTCTCTTTTTTTCCTCAAATTAAAACAAATAACAATTTACACAGAAAATGAGAAAAGAAATGCTTAGGACATTTGTCGATTTTTTTTGTATCGAAATAATACACTTTTAGATAATATGTTATGGATCCGAAGATGCATTTCCCTATTTTAATTGATGGGACAAAAAAAAACGGATCACGTCTCATTAACGAACAAACAAATAGACAAAGAAACAGGACAGATTTTTATCTGTTTTCAATATCAAAGTGTCAAATTAGCAAAACAAAAAGAAACAAAAACTATAAGACACTTTTTCTCAATGAAATTGGGTGTCGGAATGACATCTCAAGAAAAAAAAAACAAAAAAAGGAACGTAGGAGCAAAAACCAAATTACCACAAAATACTTGAGAATACGAGAAAAAAATCAAAGGCAAAACTAACAAAAAATTAAAATACGTAATTTTCTAATAAAATTAAGACGAAAACAAACTATGCAATTTTTGCGAATATCAATACGTAATACCAATTTACATCTAAACAAATGTCTTGAGAAGCCACACTTTTTTTTGTTCAAATAGCAACCAAGTAGAATGTAACAATTATTTGCCGATCTTTTTGTTTTGACATCACAAAAATAGTACGAAACAATTCAAAATCATCTTCATCAGATCTTTGATGAACGTGTTTCATCAAAAATTTCAAACAGAATGCTATTTCTATGATTTTCATTAGTAAATTACGTGATAACTGTTTTTTTTCTTTTGTTCACTTACGTTTTTGCAAAAAGGGTCGAGTAATACGACTAAAGATGTGAAATTGAATGGCAGTAATATCGACGTGAAATTTTTTCTATGGATATTTTGTTTTTTTTTTCTTTTTTATCTTGACACAAAAGTTTTTCAGCACAAAAAGTAGTCTGCATACATAACAAAAAAAAAACAATATGAATCAAATGTAGAAATGATGGCGCGAAAAATGTTCGCAAATAAGCAAAGAAAATTAAAGAATATAATAGTAAAACTGTAAATACAAAATATAATATATCATATCATAAATCTATTATTATGCGTCAGAATACAACATTAATATTATAATTAAAATGAACATTATACCGTGATGCGAGCGAAAAACGCATGAAATATTCCTTTTCGAATCCACTGCAAATTGAACATGAGCTGAATTGCAAACGGCATTTGGCACCATATAAAAACAAACCTCAATTGTGGAATCTAAAAAATCATTTCAAGCGATTTCACGTTCGCACTTTATTATTATTATTATACAATTTATTATTGACTATTATGCGATTATGATATATTACATTGTCTTCTTTAAGAATTTCTAAAGTAAATCCAATAAAAATTTATCTGTATTGAAAATTAAATGATGAAAGTCTCTTTCTTTTTGTTTGAGTAGCACATTTTCAGTTCGGAATCTCTCCTCTATTCTATTTTAGCTTGGTCACTTGTATTGAACAAAACGTAAACTTCATATACAATAATACTAACGAATTGTATCAATTCACAGAACCATTTCGTGAAATGGTTCTAAACTGAGCTTCGAGATGTCACTACTACATAAGTCTTAGTTCAGTTGAAAATGAATAAATTTAAACACATATAGTACGTATTAGTATATTATTTGTTTTGATGGGTGAGTAAATTTATACATTCCAATTGAAACGATAGATGTCCTTAAAACGATTTGAAGCGCAAACAGTGCCAGTTCACAATGGAATTTTAAATTAGTTCACAATAAAGCATCTTTTAATACTTTTCAACGATAAACTAATTTCATTTGAAATGATTGTTGTTTTCTGCAAATGATAGGCTCAAAGCAGAAAATGAACTTATCGTTTTATCAAAATGATAATCGAAATTTTTCTATCGATAATAATGATATATAGCCAAGTGACCAAATCAATTGTACTTCTTTAATGTTTTCGATTCGAACACACATACCAAAGAAATGGGGAGCACTTCATGCTTCGATTCTGTGGTGTAGACTTACACTATGAAAAGTTTTTTAATTCAAATTGGTTCTGTCGCGGCTTTAAAGAATAAAAATAATTCATGGTATTTGAAAAATTTGACGCTCGCAGTCAGCTAGCATATTGAATTTTGAATTATTTGCTGCTTACCAAGAGTTCATAATGATGCGGAGCAGTACTATGTTTATTTAAAATCGGAATGAATGCTAGCGCACATTCCACACCGCACGAGCTGTTGTTTGTTGAATTCAAACACGCGAGCGTATGTGCTGTGCATCGAATAGATAATATTGGAGCGAATGAAAGCAGATCAGAAGCAGACAGCATAGAAAACTGTAACAAAACCAGCAAACACAATATTTTCTAGTTTGTTTGTGTTTGTGTTTTGCTTTGGTCATTTCTCCGGAACAGTTTCAGTTTGATGGGTTTGTTTATATTGTCGATGTGAAACGAGAAGATGAAATATTTCATATCATGCGTGCCTCGTTTGTTGTTTTCGAGTGGACAACAACAATTTCTTTTTCGTCGGCTGTGTATTGCTGTCGCTGTTGTTGTTTTGTATCGTGCCCCAGCAAATACGATTCCATGTGAATCGGTTCTGTTTGTTTCACTGTTTGTTCTGCCTTTGAGCTCTTCGCTGAAACATTTTCTTTGGCATTGTGCGCAAGACGTGTTTTGAATGTTGCAGAGAGAACACTCAACCATGGTTCGTATATTGTGAGTGTACGCGCTGTGTGGTGCTTTGATGAAGAGCATAGAGTATGGTGGAAAATCCACCTGTTATTTGGTGTAATCATTTCTGAGCGCCTAGTCATATTGATAAAAACGAGGCGTATCTAGGGCGTGGACAGTGATTTGATTTCAAAGTTTTGATGTGAACCTTTTTAACTTTTGGTCCCTGCTGATTCTAAAGACCTGCCGAAATTTTACAAGCACCTGCCTGACCATTTGAAATTCAAGTCGATTCCAAGCTCAAGAGTTTCAGCAAAAATTCGGTTTGGTCAATAAAATTACGTGAATTAGTTCCTCATGTTGCGACAAAGAAACAACGGAAACGCTCATAAAATTGATATTTTGTGCCAGTATAATGTATTGATGTGAGGCCGCATAAAATACTGCCGATGGATATAAAGTAAATCCTCTATAGTTTATCATTTGATAACACTTGATTGACCATTGGAAACCAACAGCCCCTGAATGTGTCGCTGATGAAAATCGTTTGTTAGATAAACTGCTAAATATTATCCACGATCCACCCCAAATTTACTGCAAATGGTGCTGCATGGGTGTGTGGCATGATGTAGGCATCGTGAGCAGCATTTCGTTTGCTGCGATGTACCAAATTCTCTAGTGGTGTGCCATAGCAAACGAGTACGCAACCCAACCAAAAGCATTGGTATGACTAGTATGACGCATCAACAGGCCGTGCATTTGAACAGGAGAACACAATTCAGTTTCGTTGAATACGAAAGTGGATTGGAATCGAATGTTAAGCGCCCGTTCATAGACGATGGTGTTTTGAATGCTGTTTGCTTGTTTTGCCGGTACTACCTGAATATGTCCCTTCAGAAAAAAATTGCTTCGCATCTTGAATTTCACCAAAAGATATTTTACACTTTGGCAACTGATATACATATATTCCCACCTTTACCAATTCATTTCACGCCGTTAAAATGCAAAAATGCTAAAATAATTTCACACTTAATTTTGATATGCATGCATTTTTTCTGATCAAATCCACTTTCATTGCGCGAAGGAAAATGTTCAATTTTGAAAAAAAAAATCGCCCGAAACTGAAAACCGAATATTCGACGTAGAAATCGTGAAGAAAAGTGCGGTGTGTTTGAGAGAAGAAAAAAAATAGTTGAAGCAAAAGTTTAAAATGTGTATTAGGCGCACAACCAACGAAATACTACTACGACATTGTGAGTATTCTTTGCTGGTCGCTTATGTTCGGCCCGAATGCACGAAACGAAAGTACACACAGTGCTACACCTATAAGCGATATGCATACATAAACACATTCGAATCGTATATACCATCTGCTTCATTCTCTTTCTCTTTTTGTTGGCTGTATTCGTTGTATTTCGTTTCATTGCGATTCAGCGTCGAACGTTTGTTGTGTACGTCAACTTCGGATTTATGTGTGCCTGTTATTTGAGACTGTTTTTCATCCAAGGACATTGTCATGTCATTGCAAATAATTTATATTTCACAGCTTTCAGCATATTCTGTCTTTGTTATTGACATCGATTCAATGCGCTCTCTATTTATTTTCGGCTCATCACGTTTTCTCGAAGCAAATCTTTATTTAAAGCTGGGCTTTTTATAGAAAGCATTCGTTTGTGTATTTGTCTCTTTCACGCTCATGCCACATCACGTCATTGTGCAGTGACGTTAGCTGTTGTAGCAGCAGTAGCAGTAATACGGCTCAGACGTGTTTTTTCCCTTCGTTTTCGAGCAAATCGTATTGTTTCATTCATGGATTTATGAGCGCCCATTCAATGGCTAGCTGAAGGTAGAGCTAGAAAATGAAAGTGAAACTAAACCTCATATAAGCCGACGTTGTGGTTCAAAACCAAATGGAGCTGGATGGCTTAGAGCTCATCAACCGCTAAAAATGATCACATTACACAATATAATATTATGAAAATGAATTGTACCCATTGAGTGGCGTTCACCTCAGCCGACGCTCTCGATCTAATTCAACCGACTCCAAGAATTGTATGATTTCAAAACGAAACGAAACAAAACGATTCGAGAAGGTAGCAGACAACCGACTGTGTCAGTGTGTGCTCTCTTTCGCACGCATACACAGAATGGTTTATTTCAAGATGTTGTGCTGTTTGGTGGAAGCCAAATGTGAGAAATAAGCGGCAACGAGACCAAATGCTAGCAATATGCTCGCGATGTGTTTTTATGTTTCGGTTTTGGTAATGCTCAATGTTATGCCATCCTGATCGTAAGGTGAGTCATATGGACGTGCCATTTTAATGTTCCACTGAGGCTTCCATTTGGATGGCGCATTGGATTGGTGTAAAAAAAGCAAACGAAATATCACCACTCTTTTCTATTCAACATCTTTGTGTATGGAGGTTGCTCCAACCTTTCCGCCTTTTCAGCACGCATGTTTACAATAGAACAAAGCAATGAAATACGGTTGAACCGAAGCATACACCGCGTTCATAAGCGTTGCTCGGCATCGCAGAGCATTCAATGTGTACGCATGAAAAAAAAGTGATACGCAAGTAGCAGCTGTGCTCCGTGTAACTGTTCGACCGCAGCATGAAGCGCAGACGAACGCTCTCTTTTACTCGTACATAGATGCATTGTATTCTGGAAATGGCGTATGGCTTTTCGCTTCTGCTTTATTCTGGACGCCTAATACAGCCGGGTGGATTTTACGCGCGAAACTTCTACGATGCACGATTACCTCAGTAGGCTTCGTTGAATTTTTATTTGTTCTGCTGTTGTGAGACGCAGCGACACAAACATTATGCGGCATCATACGTTTTCCGTGTGAATACCATTCAATAGAACGGTTACAAGAGAGTGAGAAAGAAAATCGAAATCCAAAAATTGTTCTGCGGTTGGCAGTACAACTAAAATTACTTGAAGAACAATGAAAAAAGAATACCACCAAAGACATCCAAGAATTCAACGGAAGAAAAATTACAAGCAATGTAAGCTGTACGTATAAAATTCAGTGGAATCTCTTCAATTCGGTACACAAGAACCGGTTAACTTGGACAGAGACAAAAGAATAAGACTTACCATTTTATCACATTTGCGCAAATAGTTGGAGTACTACTCGTTCAATGGACGAATAAAATACGTAAAAACGGGGTACAATCGATAAGAACATTTGGTTGTAAGTGAAGAGAGGCTGATACTTCCGAGACCACTTCATGATAAGACTCCGGATTGGAAGAACGGCATTGCCTTTTTATTAAAGTTTTTGCAAACTTTGTACCAAGCGTTCATGAAAATCAACACGTACAGCATGCCAACGATCAAGTCGCCCGAGTGAAACAGCAAAATACACATTCAACACACCATCAAAAGCCAGTTACTACGCAGCGCACACACAAAACAAACAACAACAACAGCAACGACGACGATGAGTGTATAGCTATCTACGAAATTTCGCAATCCTCTCAACTGATTGAGTTCGCCCGTTCGTTCGTTCGTTTATTCGAACGCTGTTGTGTGCTAGACAACACGCTCACACACCGAACCGAACCTTGAGCGAAACAGAAAGAGCACAAATCAAAAGTCAAACACTCGGAACGTGTGCTCTCTGTAGTGAAACCGACGATGTTAAACGATCCCATGTACATATAGACATACAATCAACACATAGTAAATCTGTCTGTATTCGCTACAAATTAAGGCCAAAAGTCTAAATACACGCAAAAGTGTTCACTCATACACAGCACACAATTGACTCGGTCGATTGCGAAACTTCTCGGCGTGTACGGCATCAAACATACCCACATTCGTTGAATGACGATGGGCTCAACTCTTTTGATTTCACTCTGTTCGTTAATCGCCGTAAAAAGTGGGGACGATTGAAACCATAACGCTATGCTTCGACTCTGACCATCGGTTCCACACGGTTTTCGTGATCAGTCTCATTCTTCGATAGCTACAGTTCAGAACCAAGAAAACAAAATAAACAAATTGATTTATTTTGAATAATACGACTGGAATTTTATCGAGTGCTAGAATTTCGAATTCGATTGTGTAATGGAATGAATGACGTTGAAAATGCTGTATAGTCCGCCATGAGTTTGAGGAGACTAGGATTTGGTGTAGTACGCAGATACAGATTGTGCCTTTTTGAAAATCCTGGGGAAAGCACGTTGCTTTTAAGTGGATCTGCATGCCAAGAATACTTACTTTGCACCTCCTTTTTTTACATCTTCGTTTTCTTCAGTGTTGTTACTTGAGCCGAGCAAATATAATTTCTTCTTCTTTATCTCATGTCTTTTGCTGCTCATGTTCTCTCTGTTCGTTTCTCGTCTATCCATTCAGCGATGAGCATCACGTTTATGCTACACTTTTGTCGGTTTGTTTGGCTGCAGCGGAATTATGTGCGTACAGAGCACAATAGTACCTTTATCGAGAGCAGGTAAGCATACAATATGTGAAAGTATTGTGTGTACTCGACGTCGAAAGAGCAGAGAAAGAGGGAAAAAAACATACATGGCCAACGAATATACATAATGGTATTGGTGATGTCTTTTGAAATAAAATGTTTCCAGTATGAACAGCTGTTTTCGCGTGCAGCCCATCAAGTAGAGGAAAAAACAACAACATTTTATTGTTGGTTGATCATGTTTTTCTCTTTCGCTTGTCTCTGTTATGTTGGTAAAGTATTTTGTTTGTAGGCTGCCTGAGTTATCGTGTTTAAATTACCTGGCATTTCTGTAGCTCATGGCTTGGTGTTGCGACTGTGCGATGGTTATTTTGTTTCGCTCTTTTTTTTCTGTATTTTGTTTTGGTGCGCACACTGAATTCAATATGTCTGCTATTGTTGTTTGTGTGTTGTCTTTTTACTGCTCTTCGGGTTTCTGCTGGCCTGGCAAAAGTAGAGCATTATGGTACAATACAGGTGGAAAGCACACCTGTAGGAATATCGATAACACCTTTGTGCATTTCATATGAACAAATAAGTCATTAACGAAATGAATAATTTCCGAAAATGACACACCTTCATCGCGAAACAATTTTTACGTGAAACACTTTGAGATTGCAAAGGCTCATAGGCAAACGAAGAAATGCCATTGTTTGTTTGAGCGTTTGATGCATGCTATACGGATGGAGTGCGCATGTCGCATGTGTATGTTTGCCATACGCGCTGAAGTTTGGGATGAGCATTTTTCGAAAATGTTTGGAATGATTTTTTACTGGGGTTTCATGTTTTCGATGTCGTATGTCGAGCGGAGTGAAAAAGAGCAAAAGAATGAAAATTCCTTCCTCCGCATTCCGATGTGGAATTCAAAATATGGCCGAAGTATGTTGTAGCAGTAGCATCAGCACCAGTATCAGTAATACCAGCAATAGCAATAGCAACAGCAACAGTAGCGGCGATGCTTTGAGTTTTCGTTTGCTGCCAGATTACGTTCTCTCGCTCGCTTTTCCCTTTTTTCATGCCATATTCCATTGCGTTCATTTTCCATTTTGCGCCGTTCCTGTTCAACGAGAGCACAAAGAATATTTTTCGGCTCTCCCCGATTCACGAGCACGAAGACAATGAATGGCCATGCCTTTGGTTCGATGAAGAATACGGCGTTCGGTTCTGATGCGTCTTTTTTGCTATACGTGCTACATTTTATGTGACTCTCATCACATGCATCGTCTTCGTTTTTCATCTTCTTTCTTCATTTCATGGCAATCGGCTTTCGTCTAGCAAACACACATTTCAACTCCAATCAAACGCTTGGCCTCTTACACACGCTGTCTCTTTCTCCCTGGCGCTCTTCGCTATTCACCGCGTTGTGTGCGTGTGTATTTGTGATTTTCGTTCGATTTTTCTTTGAAATAGTTTCACCTTTTTTTCTACTCCGAATTTCTTCTTCACTTTTTTCTTACTCTCTATCTGTCTCTGTCCTACACTCTTTTCTTTTTCCATACGAAGTATCGTGGCAATTATTTTCTTTGTTCGATTTCGTTGTGGTTGCGTTGGTTTGTTGTGCTCTGTGTTTTTATGTTCACACTTGAGTTGCGTGTTATATATTTTTCTCTCGCTCTCCACGCCGTCGATGCTTCACACACTCTTCCTTCGGCAGCATTGTGTATGGAGAAGATAAAAAAAGCAGAGAAAAATGCGTACGACATCGGTGTGGTCTGCGTGTTTTTGTATTAAATTAAATTATTGATCTCCTTGCTGTCTACAGCGTATGCTACCCTGTTACGTGTGAACTACATAAAAGAAAAGGAGAATCATTTATGCCGTTTGTATTCACTCATTTATAACTACAAAGAAGTGAAAAGATGAAAGAGGAAAATGAAACAGCCCATAACAATTTGATTTTGATACGGTTCGCCATTCTCTTGCTGCTGTTACCATCGCATTCACACCGAAGAGTACGATTTCACTTTGATGTTCAGCACAAAGAGATATGAAGTGAATGTATTATCTAGTTGAGCTGCGATCAAACAATTTTTTCTTGTCTAAAATCGACTTGAAATTCACTAATGAATCTGCAGTACTGCCAATTCCAATTAATGAACGGAATCGTAATTAAAAGATTTCATGAAACATCAGGCCATTAAAAAGTACTTGATATCTAGTTCTTACGAGCAGAAAGAACATCTTTTCAAATTGTTAATGCAGATGTTGATGAGCTTGGATGAAAATTCGACACTAAAACTGTCAAGAATTAATTACCCAAAGTGTTGTAATTAGTTGGTAAATTGATCACATGACTTTGCATTCGCCTTTGAAGTTTGCATTAAAATCGTGCCAATGACTAAATGTTTGGATGACGTCGCTTTTACTGTAAGTTGAGAGTGTAATAGTAAGGGGAAGTATTTCCCACTTTCTAAATGTGTCAGTGTATGCGTCTCTGTAACTAAGAGAAGGAGTTTGTAGCCGGCATTTTCAAAAGTGGCACATGCGCACATCGTATAGTCATTTATATAAACATATGGTTGTACAGCTGATGGATGTTCGTTCCTACCACACAATTGCAGCGAAAATCATTACTTGCGGAAAAATTCGAGAAACAGGTCGGATGTAAAATGATAAAAATAATGTTGCGTACTGCAGTCGCAGAGTGCATCGGTCATTTATTATCATAGGGGAAATGTCATTTCCGAAATGTGTGCTGTGTATCAACTAGTCTGTTAACCATCCGATTTTCGTATGCGATTCGCGTTAAAACAATCTGAAAAAATGGGCGAATTTTTTTTCTCGCCTTTGTGTCGTTCGATGCGACAAATTCTATTTATTCGTAATAACCAATTTCTGATTTATATGGTTCAATGAATCATATTCAATTGAATATTGATCAAAATGTTATGCGACCTGCTAAGGTTCATCCATTTGTCCTATGAATTTTACAACTATGACTCTGCGCAAAAAAGTATATAATTGAAATAACTTTATCAAATAAACATAGTTTTGCTTTGAAAAATGCATAGGCAATGAATAGTTTGGTCAATTATGCAGAGCATTTAAAGTTAAACGGGTTGAATTGAATTCATTTCAGAGTATTTTATTCATGTTGGCTGGATTTTCCAACTGATTTTTTTTTAAATTCAAAATAGAATTCTATTTTCGGTAAATTAGCCACAATTGTTACGGAAGTTCGTTATTTTGCATTTGGAATACATACATGTATGAAGAGATCGTGTTTTTTGTCTTTTTGCAGCGCATAGCCTAAGAATTGATTTTTCTCGTCCGGATTTGTACGTGTTGAAAGAGCTATGCCTGTTGTTACGTGCATGGAATGCGGGGAGCCGGCAATTCACAGGGAAGCAACAACGGCGACGACAATCAGCAACAACAATATCAACTATGGAAACGGTCGCGATGAAAAATTAAGGCATACATACATGAAAAAAATCCGCACACATGTGTAATGCACACACTGCGATCGTCTTATATATTTACTCAGCTGTTAACTTGATTCGACTCGACTCGACTCGATTTGACATTGCTTCGTGCAGCCACATTCTGACATTTCTATATTCACCGTTTCGATACATGTGCTATGTTTATAGTCAATGCAACATTTAAATTGCACGAGCACGTCTGCGTACTTTTGTCTAGTTAGAGTAGGGCGGCATACAAATGCGGTGAAATGGTTAATGTTCACAGGGGAAATCGTAATTTTTACATGGTATAATAGTACTGAAGGCGAGCACAGATTTTCAAAAAACCGAATAAAAAGGCCGGAATTTTAGCATATTGAACGAAAAAAACTCTAATAAAATCTCTTGTAATCGGAAGATTTGTGATTAGATATGTGAAAAATAACAAAGATTATGTGTGACAAATTTTAGCCATCATTTTCTGGGACCAAATTGAATGGTCTTTTTCGTTGTGACGATTTCATTGTGTTTGTGCGATAGAACCATATGTGACAATTGCTCTGGCATGTGTTCGGTGGAGCTTCAAACAAGCACATTTTATCCCTACTTCTGGTTTGCTGTTAATGATTTTGTGCATTGCGCATTGTCAATAAATGTTCAACTTTCGCATTTAGCAGTTTTCGTGCTCGATCAGAAATGTAGGACTTTCGACACGATTAGTAGAAGCAATTCACTTGACTTGGCTCTCTGGTTTCTTTAAGGCCGGTCATACTGTGTGTTGAACTCCGCCAAGAAGAACAAGACAAAAAAGCTGAAGAAAATTTTACATCAGAGAATTTTACTTGAACCAAGAATAAAATTACACTCAACTAATTCGTTCCATTATACACCAAGCTCCAATTAAAAGGGATTTTTTTCCATTTTACATTTACACAAAAACATTTAAAAAAAACGGCCGAATAATAGGGAAAAAAAGTAAAGAAAATAATTGCAAAGCTGAAAAATCGATAAAATAAAATTTTGCTTGAAACTGCACATTTTTCATTGTTAGAATACGAAAAGTTTTTTTTCCAAATAAGTTTCGTAGTTGCAGAAGTTGGCTTTTTTCTCTTGAATCGCATTTTTTTTAAACGTAAGTTTGAAATTGACGAAGGAAAGTTCGATAAGGTCCGATTGAAGTGAATGGAAAAAGAAGGTGGTTGCGTTTTTTTCTGTGCGTGTGAAATCGAGTTCGTCATTTGTGTGCTTCTTTTTCCTGGTAGATCATTTCGTATATTGCGGTCCTGTGACAGTTCTAGAGTTTGCGCATCGGTACAGTGTGTGGACTTTAATAATATTGGGAACGAAAATAGAGAGAAAATTACATAAAACCATAAATAAATAAAACTGAAACTGGTTGATGGTGTGTGTATGATCTAACCAAGTCGACGGGTGCGGCCAAATCATCACAACGAAGGAATACGTTCAAGCGCGACTCAATTTCGCTTTTCCATTTAACATTTAAAACCGAGCACACGCAAGTTTCCTCAGTCCAAACGAAGACGACGTACATAGAAAGAGAGAAAAAAATTATTTCATATCCCTTTGCGATTCGCTCAACATTCGTCAGACGAATTTGAGAAAACTAAGTTCGGAAAGTGTGCTGTTGAAGTGTTGAACGAAATTTTTCACGGAAGTGTAAACCATTTTTCTCCGATTCGAAATTTGCTGACTTTATTTGGAAAGGGTGATTTTGGGCAGCGGTAAGTCATTGCACGGGTCATATAATGGCAACGGAGGAAAAGCCCAGTCAGGAGACTCCCGACCAAGTGATTGAGGAGATTTCGAATAGAAATGATATTCCGGCCACTTACGAACCGCCCAGTCCATTGACCGGCTGCTATCTGCTTATTATATTGGGAGAGCCACACTCGCAAGAACACAAGGATATCATTTTGCAGCGCCTATTAAAAGGTAATTTTCCCATTATACTCATAATGACATCATTCGCTCGGAAAAATAACAAAATAACCTTTAAAATGCGTCAATCATCATCACTGTCGTAAATTCAAGTCTATAAAAAGATGCAATTGAATGGTATGTACAATAGTTTAGCCGTAAAGTTATAGAAGCTGGTACCGAGCAAGAAAGTTCATGAAAAATGTCACTATTCAACGACGGCGGTGGCGATGGCGACAACGTCGACAGTAATAGTGGACAGTGGTATTCAAACCGATGATGATGATGATGATGATGTCGTCATTTACTATAAAAACCCGTATTTTATCGGACATATTTTTCCCTACGTGAGAACAATCGAATATGTGCGTACTAAGCATTATATCGAACGGTTTTTCCTATGCTCGACAAGCACTCAACAATATGGCCGACTTGTACTCTCTTTTTTGTCAGCGCTACGCTCAATGGATGGCTTTCCATGACAATTACACACTAATTGTCAGCCAACTATCGATTTTCACACACACCAAATTCGTTTGTCAGTCAAACTCATACCAAACTATTTCAACATATAATATCGTCAGATCTATATATAGGCAATGGAATGCGGGTTTTCCATCACAAGGACCTTCCAAATTTTGATGTAACTATTTCGACTGTGTATTTTCAAATAATATCTTTGAGGCCTGATTCAATCGAAATTCACATAGTAATAATGAGTTTATGATAACGAGATATTTTCAAAGACGATTCAAGGCAACCAATACCTGATAAAATTGCATAAATTTCTATTGAACTACTCAATCGAAAATCGTCGAACCGAACTTCAATAACAATGACCCAGCTTATCTCAAGTTTTATGAAACAAATTCCCAAGTGAACCAAAAATTTACATAAAACTTTTATAAGTAGAAATATGGTGGGCAGCTTGATTTGAAAGTGAATATTCCGAGAAATCGATACCAATTTTCACACGATATCACACCCAAAAACCTTTCTTCTTCCATTCCATTTCCAGTTCCGATCCGATCCATTTTATGAAATTTGAATGATTCAAAACAAAATCATTACTGTTACGACTCTATTAAATAAAGTTGTTGAAAATGGTTTTCTCTGCGGATCGATTCGATGAAACACGAGCATACTATATACATATATATTCGATATTCTAGCCATAATGGTTTAATGGGCAATATCCTAGTGTAGACGTTTCGGCGGCTTTCTTTATATATGATATTCTCGGCTCATGCAAAAGCTTAAAGTGACAACGACACAACTTATTTTAGTTGCCTGCAAATGCTTTTGTATGTATTTTTTTTCATCGTTGTCGTCGTTATTTCCAACACGTACATTTTTTCTGTGCTCGGTAAATTGTCTAAATCATAGAGAAAAATTGAAATCTCAAACTAGAGCTCAGCGTATACATGTACACACTATACAAGGGGAAGTTCCTTGTTTTGGCAAGCAAGACTCGTTGCATGTCGAAATGTAGATGTTATTTCAATGTGTTTGATTTGGACATGGTACAATTAAAGATCCGACGGCGAATAAATAACTAAATTTTTCCATTGGCAAAGAGTCAACATTTTCCCTGGACTTCCAGCATTGCGAACAACAATAAAATATTATATCAACGGGACGAAGTGGGCAGCCGTTTAATCCTCGAATATATTTTTATATCTTTGGAGTTCGTGTGCGGATGAAACAAAAGAATTTTTTTCCTCCAAATGTTTGTTTGTTCAGGATCGGCGGCCGAGTGAATTAACATCATTATTATGCAAATGTTTAAGTAACGCTATCAAAACATGCAATCTTGCAGCTTTGCATTTTTCATGTGCTTCATAGCACATACACTTCGCAAGACTGCAGATAGAATGGGAGAAAAAGAAATACCTTCAAAAAAAAACTTCATTTATTTTGGTGGCCTGCAGGTACATTTTATATAAAAAGTGAAATTTTTTCACGATACATTTTCCCACAGTGTATGTGTGAGTTTATGCACACTATTTCTCCAAAGACCATTGACTTTAGCAGTTTTATAGCATCCAATCCAATAAATATAAAGTCAAACACTAAACCAAAAGCGAACCGCGATGTAGTTAGAAAAATTTACGAGAGCGAAAAAAAGCAATACGGAAAAAGTAGAGGAAGTGGTTTGGCATTATAACGTTGCCTGCATATAGATTAGCCTTACCGAAACAACCGATTTTTGCCGACAGCCTTGTACGTAATCTACATTCACAACCACATTCGCTCCGCATCCGTATGTTCGGATTGCAGATTATGTGGCTAATATATGTACAATCGTACATGCCATCAAGTCCTTCGGTTTTGCCTGGCGAATTTAATTGAAATATTGCGCTTTAATGGAGATTAATTGTTGCATCAAATTATATACAGTTATATTCGAAATTTATCGATCGATAATCCATTTCGCCTGTTCGAGAGACGTCAAATGACGAGATTTTGATTCCATTTTGCAAACTGATTGCGCACAAGTGCAATCATGAAATTTTCAATATCGTTCGATTTCCATTCAATTTAACAATTTGCTGACAGGCAAAAGAAGATGCGCTTCGGATGGTCTTTTTTTTTGCTTGCTTGAAACGTTGAAGAGAAAATTGAATTCCAATTGAATCTGGTAATATACCACTTCATTTAAATCGATAAGCAGCCGTCGACATGTATACGTGATTAAGCATGCCAAACAGAGCACAACCGTAAAAAATGCGACATGGATCAAAGTTTCTGATGCAAAAACTAATTAAAACTTCATTTCCAAGCTCATTTGTCTGTTGTTGATGTTTTGTTTCTCCGTTTTCCACTGTTGTATGCCATCGAATATTGGTCAATTGGTCTGCTGATTTTGTCGCCCTTTGTTACTGTTTTATTTTTATGGATTTTTCCATTGTTATAAGGTTTTCGAATGATTTGGTTATCACAAAATTTAATAATATTGTTGTAACAATGAAACCGTAAACACTCGAACGGATATTAAGTCGCGCAATCATTGAAAATGATGCCATTAGTTTAATAGAAAAATATTTGAAGAAAGCTATATCTTTTTCGTGTGGATCGTTTTCAGCAGCAGTACATAACGCTGGTTTGCACACTTGATGAGCTCGTTGTCATCGCCGATGCGATGCAGTAATCTTCCAATTTCTGTCCATTTCTGTATACATGTATGTATCCAAGAACGTTCGTTGACAGTGTCGTTTTTTTCAAGTTGTGAGAATCGAGGTTAACGAAATCTTAAACATTTGCTCGTATGACTTTTAAGAATTGCCAATCTCAACGAATATGCAAATTAATTTTTACACAGAGTACAACGCGATCCAAGCATCAGATATTACCGACGTCGAAAATAACATTGCGTCATTTGATTTGCTCTACTTTCTTTTTATTAAATAAAAACATCGATTGGGGTCCGGCTAAGAGTATTTTTCGTGGAAAAAACTACATTTACGTCATATAACGTGATATTTTTGGATGTTCGATGGAGTATTCTATTTCTTTCTTGTGAGCGATTCGATATGCTCACTGAACCAGCACAAAATCAATAGTTCATTCTAACATCATTTATCGCCCTTAATACCCACCAAGCTTAATCGCACGTTCCTAATAGCGTCAACTCGCTCGATACAAATAATACCGTGACTTACGACAATACAATAACAAAATCAGTTGTAATTACTAATTATAGACAGAACATAAATATATAATAGACTTTATTAATTATAAGTGGTGTAAATCGAATGTCATGCATCGGTTAAAACCGAAGTCATAAAGCAATTAAATGAAAAGATAGTTAGTAGAAAGAATGAGAGATACGACCACCATAAGTTTTTGTCAAAGAGATGATGGATCCGTTCGGTGAAGTGTGACTCTAGCCCCATTCCGTTATTAATAGCCACATTGTTTGAAGTGTGTACTCAAAATCGCACACTGTTTTCCAGCCCCAAAAAATTGCCAAGCGAATCAAAAAACAATTTCATTCTTATAACAAATGACCTTCGCTCAAGAACATACTCTCTCAAAACGTAACAATTAACACACAGAAAGGCGAAATATTGGATTTCCTGTAAGTTTTGTGCAAATTATGCAAAGAAAATTTACTGGAATCAATTCAACGCTGCATGTAATTTATTGCCCATAGTCAGGCTACAGTCATTTTTCTTTAAGGCTTATATAAGTTTAATTATCCAGTAGCATAATCTGAAATTCAATTCGAAAAAAAACACACACACACATCGACTCTCTCTTTCATTGAGTAAGCCTGAAAACCAATTAATATAGCCCATTAATTTGTGGTGCGTTTGGTTCGCATTTCCAATACCCCAATGTCATCTATGCAAATGAAGATGATAATTTTTCAAGTGTTTTTTTTTCACTGAAATGCAAAACGATGAAAGAAAAAGCTAGAGAAAAAGTGTTTGCTGCATTACAGCCACACAGTGCCATCGACTCCGTTGAGAATGGAACTGTACTTTTTCCCTACCATACCGTATATAAATACATGTGTCATGTTTGCGCATTGTATATGCCTCTTTGAATCGTGTTGACTGTTTTATTTATATCCATGAATGCGAATCGTTTTTTTATGGGCGAATCACATTCATTATTTTATCATGAATTGCTTTCGTATTCCATATTCAAGATTTTACATTTCTAATATGTGATTATTTGTCGTATTTATAGATCGTATAGAAACATATGGGCGTTTAATATACAGTTATTTTCTGTCTAATGGCACTTTACGTGGTGGCTGAAGAAACTCTACAATGACTGTAGCATTGAAAATGTATTCACACTATTTGCTTAAACAGCACAGACCAACGGCCTGACCAAGTGTTTTTTGTACAAGTGTCTGACAACGACGACGATAATATTTGTTAAGTGAGGTGAAAATTTAATGCACGAAATAATTGATTTGCGTCAGGAATCCAATTTCCAAAGTCGTCATCGATCGATACTCATTCGGCCAAAGGCTTATTCTATCATTGACAATCGCTTTAGTCATTTTTGAGTTATGATTTTCATACATGCTGTGTGGCATAAGTAATACAATGAGATCGCCACGAAACAAAAAAAATAGCAACGCTTGCAAGGTGTATAAATCATTTTGAGGTGGCAGCCTCATGACAAATGTAAAGGACATTCGTGGAAAGGCGAAAATTGTTTTTACCGTTGAAATTGAGTTGGAGAAAGAGTGGTGGCATTTGCGGTCGTATGAATCGAATAACAAAAAAGTCTAGCCTATTTTAGGTGTGACCGGCACACGAATCATGTTGAATTATATTTCGTAGTTCAACGTTCATGTTCTCTTTCTTTTTGGCTGTTTTTTACCTACATTTTTCGGTGGATTTTTTGGATACTGTTCTGAAATACCACGTCATGCGCACTAAAAATCAATATCCTGCGTCAAATTCACACTGAAATGATATTCTGAACTCCGGCGAACGTATTTTACTATTGTAGCAACACATTATTTTTCGGTATGCAAATTTCCGACCCAATGAACGGAATCTCATGAAATATCCGAGTAAAAATGCGATTTTAAAAACTCTTGGTTATACTCGGAATGCGAAAATCTCACTATGAAAACTGCATTAATTTTCAATAATTCTCACATTTGCATAAATGTGATGCAACAATGGCCCCGGCTTATGACATGAAAAATGAACAAAAGTGCGAACACAATTTTCTTAAACATTTCAAATGAATTCACTATTTGCTCTGGTTTTCGGGTTGCGGAATTCTAAATGTGGTTTTCTTTGTTTGTTGTTGTTGCTTGTAGGTTTGTTGTCTTGGAACGTGCTGGATTGCCATGTCGATTTGGAAGAAGAACTGAACAATTTAACGAATCATGCTCCCGAAGGAGAAGCCGCGCGCCATGGTAACTATTTATGAATTTCTTTTATCTGTGAATAATGTAACTGCTGCAAACAGTCTCACGACTGAATTTCATGTGTACAATGTACAGGAACAATTTATATTCGACGCATGCAAATGTCTTTTGCTATTGTGATAAATGATGGATTTTTTCTTTGTTCATTTTTGTTTGCTTTCGTACAGGCGAACGCTTGATTCAATTTGCCAGTGAAAATTTGGTGACGGAAATATTGATTCATCCCCAATACAATACGCTGATTCAATGCATGCGAAATTTATTGAGTAGCTTTACAAGACATAGACATATTATACATTCCGGTTACACATTCTCGGGAAATGGTTCATGGATCTTGCAAGTGAGTTAAATCCTGAATAATTTATGTGATTTTTCCAAGGGGAAACTACTACTACCGCGTAATTCATATTAATACAATCTAGTACAACACAAATTCTGAAAAATTCCAAAAAATTCTGCGCAATTCAAAACAATTCCAATCATTTCCGATGTTCCTTAGTCAAATTTGGTGATGATCAACTTAAAATATCGCAAATATAGGGACATTTACCATTCATTTGAATGCATATTGAAGATTTTTACATCCAGAACATATTTGACTTGGTTTGATCTACAAGACTCAATTCTAGCTCTGTTTTTTATTTTGAAAATATTTTATGTATCATAAAGCCTTTACCTATTTAAAATGAAATATTGAATTGGAAGTGAGACCTATGTACAATTAAAAACGCCCTATCTGAAGTTATTTCGATAAGATTGAACATCTATGCGCTTAAGCATTCCTTTGATATGCTAAATGATCCTATATTTGCAATTTTCGAAGTTGATCATCATCAAATTTGACTTAGAAACATCGGAATTGATTGGAATTGTTTTGAATTGCGCAGAATTTTTTGGAATTTATCAGAATTGGTGTTGTACTAGATTGTATTAATATGAATTATGCGGTAGTAGTAGTTTCCCCCTTGGATTTTTCTCGATGGAGCGCTCAATTTTCACGGATTGAATGGTGTTTATTCTTTTGTGTTTACGTGTGTGTGTTTTTATTATTCCGCAAACTCTCAGGATGCCACATTTTCTGTATCTGATTTTGCCGAAGCTCTGCAAGACTATGAGGTGCAACGCGTTATGCGAGCATATCCCGATACTATATCCATGGAAATACATTGCGCCACGTCGGGTCACTGGAATAAATTGCCCGACAAATCGTTTGCAAAACTCTGTAAAATTCGCATCAATTCCGTTGACATTCTCGATTCTGGAAGTGAACGACTCAACGCATTTATCAGTGAGTTATGAGCTCTTTGCGCCACATTCGTATAAAACGAGCAAAGTTAACCCATTTTTTATGTTGTTATTCCGTTTAGATTATTTGTCACCATTGATAGCTCCGGCAAATCTAAATGAATTGATGGCGAGCTCCGATGTCGTGGGAAATATTCGATTCAGCCATCCAACGCTCTACGTTTTTCCGGGTGGACAAGGCGATGCTGCACTCTTTGGTATCAATGGATTCAATATGCTGGGTAAATAACAAGTTTAAAAATATTCTCTTCATTTTGTGAAAATATTAAATTTTCATTGTGATTTGAAATATTCCAGTCGATGGTGGTTTCAACCGAAAATCATGTTTCTGGGATTTCACACGGCATTTGGATCGTTTGGATGCTGTGTTGATGACACGCATCAGCAATGCAAACATTCAAGGGCTCAGTTCGATAATAGAACGTAAGGCAATTTCAAATGTGTATCCGCAACTTGGATATTTCTTCACCAATATTCCCGAGTCAAAACCAGAACCAAGTTTGGAGAGTGATAAGGATAGCGATCCACTGCTTGTTAATTTATTCGAACGCGGTCAATCGCTAACGTCAAACTTGAAATCAATTAATTTGAAACCACAGCCATGCTACAAGGACGTTGAACCAATCAACTTGTACCACAAAGTTGGCCATGGCACTTTGGATATGTATGTGATAAGCCCGTCGAGAGAGTCCAAGGAAGTAAAAGAGTTTCTCCACAAATGGAATGCACGCGATCAAAATCTATTCGCAACCAAACAGTCGAAAGAGTTCCAGTTTCCGCTGCAAAATCTCGTTTCGATTTGTGCAATGTTAGTGTGGCAACCGGCCAATCCGGAAGAGACTATTACACGAATTCTGTTCCCCGGCAGCACACCCGATTATAAGATTATGGAAGGTTTGGATAAAATGAAACACTTGGAATTTGTTAAGCATCCCGTTTGCACTGCAAACCAAATTGAAGCCACCAGTTTCTCATCAACAATTTTATCAAAAAAACAACAACTCAAATCCGCCCTCGCCGACAAATCAACTCACGAGCAAACAATCCTTCCGTCCAAAGTAACTAGAACCGTGGTTGCACAAGAGAAGGATAACAAAACGGTAACTGAGACGAAAACCGTAATTAAAACGGAAAAAGAGAGTGCCGTCGTCGATGGTGAAACGACAAAAGTTGAAGCGGAAAAAGAGCAAGAAAAAGACAACAAAACTGCGTCTGAGTCGAAACCCGTTGTGAAATCACGCATCGACTCCCGACCGCCCAAATCAATGGAGAAAAAATTGAAAAAAGACTCATCTACCGAAAAGAAGTCTAGTCCAGTCACGACGCCAAAGAAAGAAGCGAAACAGCCAAAAGAAAAAGAGAGAGAAATCAAGTCGAGGATTATTAGTCGTGTGGCAAAAATAAGCCCAAGCAGTACACCAGCTAAGAGTACTAAAGAAGCAAATAATCGCAAAGTGTTTGAGTCCAAGCAGAGGACATCTGTGAAAACAGTCAAGAAAGATGTGTCACAAACAATCACCGAAAAGAAAGAAACTGTAAAGGAGCTGAAAGTCGAGCGAAAAGCCATTTCACGACGGCCAAAACCAGCCGCCGGCAGCCCAATGAAAAGTATCAAAAAATCTACCGCCAAAGACACGGCCGTTATTCACAAACCAAAAGCGGATAAAGGAGCCGCTTCTGATTCAAGTGTTGTCTCCACACCAAGTGCTGCAACTGATGATGTAAAAGTTAAGAAAACGGCCGTTGAGCAGGAAAAACAAATCCTGCTCGATGATTTAATCGAAGAACAAGAGGCAGTACGTGAAATTGAAGCTGTTTTACAACGATCGGAGAGCAAACAAATTGATGATGATGAACGTCGTACTATTATTATTGATAAACAGGATAGCACAACCGAGGCTGATGAAGATGAAGAATATATCATTATCGAAAAGGAAGAACAATACACAGAGGAGTGTTCGGTCAATGACCCGGAAAGCGGTGACTTAACTGGAAAAGAAGAAGTCAAGCATCAACGCGATTCACAAGAGTCAGAGAAGAAGCGCAAACCAAGCATTGAAACAACTGAAGAAGAGGAAGAGCCACAGCAAGCCGGCGAAAAATTGACCGAGCAAGACAAACCAGATGCGGAAAGCGTTGCGGCTGCAGAGGAACCTATTCATGTTAAAGAAGGTAAAATTATTTAAAAACAATGATGGTACGGCGTTGAAATAGATTTTGCTGGTACGATAATATAACTGTCGTTCGATTTAGGAAAAGTTATGATTGTCCGAATTAAAAAATTAATCCCATTTTTTCAATTTTAAATCGATTTCATGCGCTTTATCAATGTTTGGGAAATATCCCCTGGCGGCGTACTGTGAATCTGTTTGTAACTTGCATTTTGGTCTATTTGTTTGATAACGTTTTTTTTTCTTCTTTAATTCGTAGAAGAAATGGAAGAAGCAATTCCAACTTCACATAAAATGAATGGCGACGTTCCAAAGGCTAAATCTGATATCCAGGAGGAAGCCAAATCCGATGAAGGGTCTCCAATATCCGACGAGAAGCAGCCCAGTGATGAGAAAAACATTTATGTCAAGGAAGAATTAGGTGTAGATAAAATTCCGGCTGACACAAAGGAAGCAGATATTGTCAACGTTCCTGAAAGTCAAGCAACAGCCGAGTCGGGTGCTACAACTGCACCAACATTGCCAGAAGATGAGCATATTCCATTAGACGAAGTCAAAGAAAATGTTGTGATTGAAGAGAAATACATCAAAGAAGAGACAAAAGAAACGCAAGTGGTTGTCACTACCGTTGATGAGCCAGTAGAACGTGTTCAACCGAAACCAATGCAATTCGATGCTCAACAACCACATTTGCGTGAGCTGAATATTAAAACGCCAGATGAGGTCGCTGATTTGCCGGTGCATGAAGAGGCTGACATTGCTACTGATGAAACACCAGCTGGCAGTCGAAAGGCTTCACTGCGTAAAGGTGAAGAGCTGACCAAACAAGAACAGCCTATCAAAACCGAGCCAGTTGAAATCGAATCTAAGGATATTGACGATGCTAAAGTCTCTCCCAAAGAAGAAAATTTGGGATCGAAAACTCCGATCGAAAAGAAAAGCCCATCGCCAACAAGTGTTGAGCAGAAAGTTGCCTCGCCGGTTGAAAAAGTTGAATACAAAGTTGAAGATTTGGGCAAACAATTCGAAAGTACATTGAAAGATGTTACCGCAAAAGTGGAATTTACCGATGAGCCAAACGATTTGAAAGGAAAAAGTCCAGTTGATGATAGCAAACCAAATGATACCGAAGCACCTAGCCCTTCTAAAGAAGAAATTTTGATAAAAGATGAAGCCGATGATCGTAAGAGTGTATCGCCGATTGATGTTAAACAGGAAGAAATCAGAACAACCTTGATTCAAACAGAAAACACTGAAATAAAAACCGAATTTGTCGCTGAAACAATAGAAGAATTGACAAGTGTATCGCCCGACAAGATTGAATCAGAACGAAAAGCGAGTGTCGTTGATAAAACCAGTGATGTTAAAGCTGGGAAAATCGCATCGAAAAGTCCATCGCCCGACTTAAAGGAAGAAATTAGTGCTACTCCAAAGGAAGTTGAAACAGTGTCCGGAAGTAAACGAGAAAGCTTAATCGAGGATGACGATTTCAAAGCTGAAATCGCTAAAGTCAGTGAACCAAAACCAATTGAAATAGCAACATCCAAAAGTCCATCACCAACAAGAGATGAGAAAATCGGTGAATCACCGAAACGAAGTGAGGTCACAAATGAAAAACTTGCAAGTGTATCTAAAGAGCCCGAATTGAAGAAAGCAGAATTAGAGCTCGAAGAACCTGAACAAATTATTAGCAAGGCCGAAGTCGATATTGCAACAACTAAAGCTGGTGATGTTGTTGTTAGCGAAGAAATCAAGAGTGCTTCGCCAATTCAAGACATCATTGAAACCAAAGAAGAGAAAGTGGCGTCAAAGAGTCCATCTCCAGATCTTAAAGAGCAAGCATCTGTTTCACCAGTTCCACAAAAGGAAGTGGTCGTCGAAATTGTTGCTTCAGTGGACAGTAAACGGGCTAGTTTAAAAGATGATACTGCAATCGAAGCCGCAAAACCTAATGAACCAGAAATCGAGGAAAAAGAGAAATCAAAGAGTCCGTCACCAACAAAAGACGAACCAATTATTGAATCACGTGAACAAAGTGTTGCTGAAATTGAGCGTAAGAGTGCATCACCAGTTGAAAAAGAACATGTGGTGTCACCACCAAAATCAGTTTCGCCGCCAGCAAAAGATGATATCGCTTCACCGGAACGCAAAGATAGTGCCGTCGCAACAAAGTCCATTACTCCGACCGAATTAAATTTACAATCGTCAGACTATACCGAAGTATATGACTACAGTCATCCATTCGATGCTCAATGTCCAAATGAATTACGCGAAACTCACATTACAACTGTCGAGTCACCAATTGTTGAAAAGAGCAAATTGATCGATTTGCAAGTCATCGATAAAACTATAACTGAAATCATCGGGGGAGATGATTCATCATTGAATGATATCAGAGAAGAAGATGAAGAGGATCGTGTGACGCCACCACGTGAAGAAATACAAGAGTCCTCTCCGAAACCAAGTGTACCACTTGAAGTGCATACTGAGCCGCCTAGGTCAGTTTCGCCACGAGAACAGGAAGTTTTGAAAATTGTTGCTAACGTGGCCGAGGTGTTAAAATCTGAAAAAGACATAACCGATATTATTCCCGATTTTAATGAGGACGAATTAGAAAAAAATATCATGCAACGTGCAAGCACACCCGAAGTATTTTCCAGCATCAAGGAGTCTGCCGACTTCCATGATTTATCTGCTTCGCTATCAGAAGCAAAAACGTCAACCACTTCAATTGATGAGAAGGAACAACATGAAATTGCCGAAAAACACCAGGCCGGATTCCAGAAAGAAGTGGCCGACGGTGATGTTTATCGCAAAGAATCGTATGCCGGTGAAGTTTTGGATGATTCGCGACGTGAATCTGCAATCAGCACATTCAGCGAGAGAGATTTTACCAAAGATGAAAGCACTTTGGATAAATTTTCTCGTTCAAATTCATCATTGGAATTGAAACACGATGAATTAGAAGTGAAATCAACTGAAATCGAAACACACTCGGAAGTAACTCAAATCGAAAAGTCTCAAGTAAGCGAGACGGTAGCAATAGATTCACGCAGACAATCGCTTCTCAGCGATAAACCAGGCTCAACATCGCCTGAAAAACAAGAAGAACTTGAACAAAGCAAAACCGTAAAGCCAACGGCAGAAGAAACAAAAGTATTAACGGACCGTAAAGAAAGTATTAGCTTGAAACTTGAAGAAGATAGTGCAACTGTTCAACGAATGCTGGTGACTGCAAGTAGTGAAGACGGTGGCGAAGAGACGGAAATATGTGCCGAAGGCACCATCAAATTTAGCCCATCAGCAACAACACCTGAAACATTTTCGGGCAAGGCTACGCCAGAAATTGACCACGATGATTTGCAAAAGAAACCCGAATCGGGTAAAGAAACCGTTGAAGCCAGCCACATTGAATCGACATTGGAGGTTGATGATTTAACACGCAGAGAAACGACAAGCCGACAAAGCGATCGCCCCGATTCAGTAATGAGTCATTTCAGTGATACAACTGAACCCGAACTGAAGGAAACATGCAGCTCACCTGAAAAGCAAGTCCATGAGAAACAATCAAGTTCATCGGGCAAATCAACCGGTTCACCATCGACTGCTAGCAGCAGCCATGGATCTGTTGAAATCGAAAAGAAAGATGAATCACGCCCTGACTCTCGAGATATTGGTGGCAAAATTGAAGAGAAACATGATCTGTCGGGAAAAACAACATCAACCGATGCTAATCGCCCTGAATCGGCGGCTGATGACAAAAACATTGATGATGTGCAAGCAAAAAAATCATCAAGCCTACCTATCGAAAGCGATAAAAAGGATTCGATCGAGAAAGAAGACGACAAACAATTGTCAACAAGTGATTTATCTCGTCCAGAATCTGCCGCAAAACCTGAATCCCGAAGTCAATCCGTTGCGAGCGAAGAAAAAATCGAGATTGTAGACGCACAACAATCACGTTCACAATCAATTGTGATTGAAAAACAAGATGCTTCCGGCAAAACAGCACCGGCTGAAGTTAGTCGCCCCGAATCAGCAGCAAGCGACAGGAAAGCTAAAACTGAAGTAAAATCACCATCGCCTCCCCAAGAAAAAGAATCATCACGACCAGTATCAAGTGCAAGTGTGGAAAAAATTGAACATGCCTCACCAACACCATCCACAAAGTCCACGGAGGAAAAAGCAGACGATGATAAGTCACCTGAAGACATCCAAAAATCACGTTCTCAGTCAATAGCAAGCGAAAAAGTGGACATTTCTGGTAAAACTACTCCATTGCCAGTCAGTCGACCCGAGTCTGCTGCCAGTAACATTAGTGCAAAGGATGCAGTAATTACAAAAACAACGGCTGACTTGATTGAACCTATCAGCTGTGATGAACAGAAATCACACTCTCCATCGCTCAAAGAAGAACTGATTGAGGAAGAGTCTACATCGTCTAAAATAGATTCAGTTGCAAGCGCAATTGATGTACAGAAAGACACCGAAAAATCGCCAGTTAAGGATGAGGCAACAACCAAAACAATTACAACAATTAAATCTGAGGTAAAAGACGAATGCACTGTTAGTTCCACTTTTGTTGAACAAATTGTGAAATCGCCTAGTCCTCCATCTGAGGCGATTAAGAAGGATTCATTCGACAAAGCCGATGATCAAAGTGTTTTGAAAGGTGACGTATCGCGACCGGGATCGGCAGCAAGTGATATCAGCTCGAAGGATGGCCAAAAATCGCCAGTTGTTTCTACAGAAAAAGAACAAATCACAACGAAATCGGAATCTCGTAGTCAATCCATTGTGAGTGTCATTAGTGAAGAGAAAGAAGAAGATGAGAAATCGACCAAAATCGCGTCACCAAGCCCTCCCGAGAGTGTGAAAAGAGATTCTTTTGAAAAGGTTGATGACAAAAAATTGAGTGTTAGTGAA